AGCCCTTTCATGAACAGTGGTCCACTTCTCGGCCCATATGGGGCTCCGTGGAGGGTTTGATGGTCCAGTTTTGGCTTTTTAGTTTCCCACTGGACCCTTTTCTAGCCTTTCTCAAATTTGTAACACCCCGAAAACTAGTAGGCCAAACTAGAGCTTAACATGAGGGTTAGATTTGTAAATGTAACTCCCTGTACTTAAAAAATAAAGTGTTTAGTGTTAGAACGTTAAGGTACGACCCCCAAAGAATAACCATGGGTCCTTGAGGAAGACCCCTAGAAAATTTCCTGGACAGTGACCAACGAAGGGGATCGATGCCTCGTTGGTCTGTCCACGCCTCGTGGTTGACAGGCCATAGGTCAAGCCCTGAAAACCAGGTCTCTGAACCCCAACCCACGCTTCACCAGCATGGGCCGTGGGCACAACCACGGTCCGTCAGTCAGGGTCTCGTAGATGGGGCCAAATTCTTTGACCATCAACTACGCTCAACTAGGACATGCCGTGGTTCCATACACGGTCCGTAGGTCATGGGCTCGTGGTTCAGGCCTGGAAACTAATTTTTGGAAGTTACACTTAGGGGTACTTCGGGGTTGTTGACACTCAATTTTGACCGACCTATAACACTTCCGCGAATGCTATCCGATTAAATACGTACTTTTAAAATATATTTCAAGTTTAGAATTTTAATCGATTTTAGTCTAAAATTATATATTTTTGTATGCCTAACATATAAAAAATATGTTATATGTATTATTATCAATTTAAATTATTATATATATCGATAGTTCAACTCGAAATAATTATTTTACTCAAATATTTTAAAATTTCAGTGTGTTTAATTGGTATGAAAATATTATAATATGTGTAGAATTTTATTAATTGGAAGGCATTCTATGAAAGGTTCTTCCCTTCTACGGAAATGGTTATGTTGAGGGATGGTATTCAGAACTTCAAGCGCATTGATGGTGAACCTATCCATGAGACATGGTTGAGGTTCCACAAGTTATTGCTTCAATGTCCAACCAATGGGCTACTGGGTAATGAGTTGTTGCATTATTTTTACCGTAGCCTTAACACGGTCAACAAAGGTGTTGCAGACCAGCTCATTCGAGGAGGAATCATGCAACAACCGTTTGACATAGACTCTACCTTTCATGATGATATGAAAAAAATTAATCATGCATGGTACACGATAGAAGATAAGGTGTCTCCTTTGAATTTTGGGTTGAGAAAGTAGAAGTTGGAGAAGAATCAAGAGCAAGATGAAAATATGGGGAAAATGATGACCCGAATGGACCTATTGAAATAACATGTCATGGAAAGTTGTACTAAGGCTATGAATGTGCTCGGAACTGGTGGAAATAATCCTGATGTAGCACAGTTTGAGAACATGTACAATGAAGTAGTGCATTTCTTGGTAAATCAGGTAGGGGGTGCACATACGAAATATCCAAGGCAGAGTGGAAATCAAGCTTGGAACATGGACCGCGGACCGCGGTGATGGTTGGAGAGACCAAGATAGTGAGTGGCATGACCGTGGTAGAAATTAAAGGGAGCGAGATGGAGACAAAGATCACTATGTGCCTCCTTATAAGCGTCAAAATCAAAAAGAGCCAAGTGTCGATCCTAAAAATTTATGCACTGAAGATATGCTTACTCGTATTCTCAACAAAGTGGTAGGATTAGACAAGGTACTAAACGAAATGAATGATCACGTCCCTTCCCCAAACCAAATGGTTACTTCACATTCGGTATCTATTATGCAGCTGGAAACACATATGGGTCAAATCTCGGCTCATTTAAACCCAAGGCCAAAAGGGGGTTTATGGAGTGATACCATGGTGAACCCGAAGAATGAAGCTTGAAAGCATGTCTCTGCCGTGCCATGACGTTAAATAAGGCGCTTCTTGGGAGGCAATCAAAGTTTTAGTTTTAGTTTTAGTTTTGTTATTTGAATAACAGTTGTTGGATTTGCAGGTTGAAACTTTGAAGTTTGGGAGAAATAAGTATTTGGGCGAGCTCAGAACCCTATCGTTGATCCGCGAGTGGGTCGGCGACCCGATGTGGATTGCGTTTTTTACCAACATAAAGATTGGAGTTCTGCTAACTTCGATGGGCAAAAGTGCCTTTTGGTGCATCGCTGAATGGGTCGGCAACATAAGTGTATATTGCCGATCGAGGCGTGAACTGAAGGGTCAAAAGGGTTTCCAATCATTTAAATTCAAACCTCTTCATTATTTTTCATTTTTCGACTCTTGCATGCTAACACCCTACTATAAGATCATAGTGTTGTCAAAATTGTGTGTGGGCATATTTGAATAGTCAGACATCATTATTTTTTCTTTCTATCTCCTCTTCTTGCGCTTTGTATTTATCTGTCTCTGAGGTTGGTATCTCGATCATGCTTTAATTTCTCGCCATAATTTAAGCATGTGTGTATAAGTGATTGATCTGTTATTTACCCTTGTGTGGTTAATTGATAAGTTGATTATTGTTGGGTAATTTGATCATGTTAGATATTGGTATTGTTTAAATTTGAATTCCATGTTTAAATAACTTAAAATTTTGGGTATGTGGTTGTAGCCTATTAGGGTTAATTGTGAGTGAACTCTAAGTAACCCGAATTGCATCGATCAACTGAATTTTCCCAATGATAGATCGGGTGACGTCATTCTTAAGGCCAAATGCCGTTAATTGGTGAATTGTGGACAAATTGCGAGAAGTCTGAGTACCCCGGGGATAGTAAAGTTATGTGATAACCATTAACTTCATGAAATAGGGCTTTAATTTTGTTGTCGTAAAATGTTTGTTGAAAATTTGGGGTCATAGTTGAAATCTGGCACGAGAGACTAGTCGATGAGCTTAGTCGAGCTGGCCGAAGGGATCGGCGGTTCGCCAAATTGCTCCTTACCTCGCCCTTTTGCTTTTAGAATATCAACCCATTTATAGGATATCTTTCTAAATCAGTTCAATTATCAACTACTGTAAAATAAAACACCGGTCTCAAAAGCAAACTTAAATCACATTAGAATATAATGACATTTTTACAGAGATAAAATACACTTGCTTCCGGAGTTCATAAAAATCACTAAGAAATCACATCAATTTCCACTTAAGAATACTATAGAAAATCATAATTTCAATTATCAAACTAAAATAAATTATGTAACGAACTGAAGTAGAAAATGAACCCGAACGGATCTGAAAAGATCCGTCTTTCAAAGATTGGAAAACTTTAACTTAACCGAAGTTCTCCCTACCTTCGCCGACCGGAAATGCTGTTTAGGAGAGCTGCTCTCTCGACACAGTAGGAGAAAGAGAGAAGGGTGAGCAACGGTTTCGCTGCTATCGGAGGCTCGCGTCGTTAGAGCTACTGGTTGCTTCCCTCGTTGACGTTGCTGCCTATAGGTTCTCACCGGTGGCTAGTCGGAGTTGTTGTCCACGCTGGCGCTGCTTGCTGGTGGCTGGTGTTGCCATCACCTATGTTATTCACCAGCTATTGGTCGCGCTGCCTTTGCTGGCTGTTGTTGATGTTGTTGTCGAACTCTTCGTTGGAGAAGAGGGAGAGTCGGAGGAGAGAGACGGCGAAGAGAAGGCAGCGCCTCGCCTCTTGATGAAGGAGATTTTTACCGAAAAAATGGAAAGGAGGGTTGAGAGGGGGAGGTTGCGGCTGGTGAGAAGAGGGAGAAAGAGTGAAGAGTCAATTAGGTTTTTTTGATCTTTGGGTAGTTTAAAAGGAAAGTAATTGAATATTCAATCTTGACCCTTGATTAAAATCGGATTGAGGGTAGAGATTGAATTTTCTAAGTTGAATCCAAAGTTGAATGGATGAGATCGAGTGAGTATTGAAAGCGTTGAAATAAGAACAAAAATGGGTCAATATTGCAATAAATAAATGGCTACAATTGAAATAAGTTGAATTAGGACACGCTCGAATCGCAAATAAGAAAGGGCTAGAATTTAAATAATTCTGAATAGATAGCCTATGATTTTAATGATTTTGAAGAAAATTTAGGAAATGCTATCCAATTAATAAAATACTACACATATTATAATATTTTCATACCAATTAAACACACTAAAATTTTAAAACATTTGAGTAAAATGATTATTTCGAGTTTAATTATCGATAAATATAATAGTTGAAATTCATAATAATACGTATGATATTTTTTTAAAAGTTAACCATACTAAAATATATAATTTTATACAAAAATAGATTAAAATTTTAAACTCGAAATATGTTTTAAAAAATACATATTTAAACGTATAGCATTCCCGAAAGAGTTATAGGTTGGTCAAAATTGGGTGTCAACAGCTACACCTTGGTTGCTTAAGAATGAAGGATAAATTGTCGGGCAACCAACGTTGACTTAGTAGCCGATTTTTTCCAACCGACTAGAGATGTCAGTGGGATTAGTTGAGATGATATAGAGTTAGAAAGTGGTATGGCCGAGACTTTGGTATTAAGCCGCCTACATATCTCTGGTTATAGGAAGATATTCAGGAATTAATATATTTTAGCTATACATAACCATAAATACATGTACCTGTGTGATATCTAGAATATTTTGGTCCATGGCTTAGCTTTGAAACTGATAAATTTTATTGAGAATTTTTTGTAGTACAAAAGAGGCTTGCTTTCCGTGTAGAAAGTCTTGCCTCTATAAGCCATAATGGCTACCTATTTATACACATATAAGTAACCTTACTATGGTTACTTTATTCCTACTATGATTACTTTTACACCTAACTATAGTTACTTTACACCTTTATTACTATTCCTACTTTTGTACATATTCCTAGACTAATACGTTAGTGCTTCTTTACATCTGCACTACTAATAAGACTCCTATCTTTACAAAGTCAACAAAAGGACAAACAACTTTACTTTACATTTTTGTACATAATATTTCTAACACGTTACTACTAGCTTTTCATAAAGTAGCTCCACTTAGCATAGCTTTTCCTTTTTATCTTGTCGGTCTTGTCACTTCTTGTTTTTACTCTAGCTGCACGTCTGGGATCACGTTATCTTCGCCTTCACATTTGGAACATTGATGATCCGGATATTTATGGCCAATAGTTTTGCAGTATCTGGTCATTATTTCTGAAGAGATAAAATCCTTCCTTATAGCTCTTGTTGTAGGTTGTTGCTCAGGTTTTAGTAGACTTAGTGCCCATTGCCTGAGTTCTTCCATATCTGCTGCTCTAAATTCTCGACAATTCGAATATATCATTGTTTGTTCCCGTGAATAATAACTCCATATTGAATTGTTGTTCAAATAATTAGATGTTAACTCATTCAGTATAGTAGCTATTCCAATAATCCTTTTTCCTGCATAGAATGCTGGTATCTCTACTTTTTGTATCTCCTCTTGCTCCTCTATTTTTTCCGGTATAATCATTTCTCTAGTTAGTCCAATTTTTATAACTTGTATAATCGGTTTTATTTCGTCGTAAAGTATTTCTGCTGGTGCTGAATAAAACTTTATATAAAACAAAGTTCCTTTAGTTAGACTTTCCTTATAGGTATTTAATTGAGGTGGTACAAATATGGGGTTTTGTTTTTTGGGTATAAATGGTTTTTCGAATATCTTGTTCATGTTTGTATTGACATATCTTTTTTCCTCTTTTGTAGATGATGTGCTACCTGTAGATGCATGTAACAAATTGTTAGTTTGGGTTTTACGGTGTTTCCCAGCGTCACCTTCTAGCTCTGGAATTTTTAAGTCTTCCGATCGACTTAGCTCCGCATGTTTACCGTCATGCTGCTGACTTTTTATTTGTTGTAGCTCTTTATCCATGTTATCTATCTTTGTACAAAGCATTGCTATAGCATTGAATATTTTTTCATCTTTGTCTAGGTCCGTCTGTGTAGCTTTGTCTTGATATGTAGTCTGCAATGACATTTTTGTTAGTACTTATTACTTCTATTGTAAATGTAAAATTTTGTATATTTAATACTAGTCTTCGTATTTCTTTTGTTGTTACTGAATCTTGTATCTTCCTTGTAATCCACCATTTTACCTGCGTATTATCTGTTCTTACAATAAACTTATTATATACAATATATGGTTCAAAAGCTAATAAACATTTATATAGTGCATATAATTCTTTTCTATTTATTTCTCATTTTATTTCGGGATTTGTAAACGGACCTGAGTAATATCTACAATGATGTTCTATTTTTTCTTTATCGTATTTATATTTTAGTACTCCTCCATAACTTATTTCGCTTGCATCTGATTCTACTATGTATATAAATTTTTTATTTTCATCTGGAAAATATAATTTAGGTAACTTCTTACATAATGATTTTATTTTTTGTATTTGTTCTTGATCTTTTTTATCAAAATAATATTCTACATCTTTCTTCAATTTTTTGTGCAAAGGTTTTAGATTTTCTGCTAAATTAGGTATATATTCTCTTACCTGGTTTACTAATCCTAAAAATGATTGTAATTTCTTTTTCGTATCTATTTGTTCTTCAGAATTTATTATTTTTTGTACTATATGGTTTTGCATTTTTATACCATTCTTATCTATTTGTATTCCTAAAAATTCAATTTGATTTTTCATTATTTCTGCCTTTTTCTTACTTAAACTTATTCCTGAGTATGTTATAATATGTATAAATTTTTCTAATAATCAGATATGGTCTTCTTCTGTTCTTGAATATAATAGTATATCATCTATGTATACTATGCAATTTTCTAATTGGTTGAAATAATTATCCATGAAATGTTGGTATCTACCTGGTGCATTTTTGTATCCAAATGGTAGTACGTTCCATTCATAGAATCCTTGTGGTACTGTGAAAGCTGTTAATTTTTTAGACTCTTCTTCTAACTTTAGATGATAGAATCCCGATTTACAATCAAATTTACTAAAATAGTTGTAGCCTTGTATTTGTCTTACTTTTAGTACTTTGTTAGGTATGGGGTAATTATATGTTTTTGTTTTTGCATTTAAATTTCTATAGTCAATAACCATACGACTTTTACCCCTTTTTTGTTCGCTGTGTTTATTTACTATGAATGCTGGACTTGTATGTTTGCTATTGCTTTCTTGTATATATTTGTTTTCTAATAATTCTTTTATATGCATTTTAAATTCTTTTAAATCCTCAAAATTATATTTCAATGGTTTCTGGGTTATTATACTATTTTCATCAATTAGTTCAATTTTTACTTTTGTTTTATGGTTTTCCCATCCTTTTAAGGGATCTTCACTATATAACATATCTAATTTTTCTTGAATTAATTTTAATTTATCTATTGAAAATATTATTAATTCTATATTGTGGGTAGTTTCTTTAACATTTTCTAATTTTTGAGTGATTTTTTCACTTCCTTTAATCCATGGTGTAGGTTTTCTGTTTTTATTACTTACTCTTTTTGCTCCTATCTTTTGTTTACATGGTGTGGTAAACCACCAATGTGTTTTTGTTATTACATGGGGATATAGTTTTTCTAGAAATGACATTCCTAAAAGCATGTCTTTATTTATAAATTCATAACTATATATATCTTCTATAGTTAATATTTTATCCCATATTTGTAACTTTATATTTTTTGCTTTATATGTTATCATACTTCCTTCATTATTAAATCCTGTGACGACTATAGGTGTTTTTAGTATTTCCCATTTTTCATCTGGTAGACAGTTATGTTTACACATGTTTGCTTCTGCTCCTGTATCTATCATTGGAGTATAATATCTGTTGTAGTAATTTTCAACTATTATTTTTGCAAGTATATAAATTTTCATAATGCTCTTTTTACTATAATCTTTTTATTTTTATAAGTTATTGTTAATTGGGTATTTTCTAAATTATATGGTTTCATTTCTTCTAACCATTTTATTCCTAATATTATATTGTCTTCTTGATATATTTTAAAGTCTATTAATATTATTATACCTCCTATGATTATTTCTTTTTGAGTTGTTTCCTCTATATGTAACAATTCTTTTTGGTAATTCTGGGCATACTTGTTCTTTAGAGGTTATCTCTTCTTCCGATACTAATTCTCTTGGTATATAATTTTCTTCTTGTCCGGTATTTATTATGATGATATGTTTTCTTTGTTCTATTATTCCAGTTATATAGTAGTGATATGGTTCAATTTCTTTTATTCTTTGATATTCTACTGATTTTCTTAAGGGTTGGGACGTATCAATACTTTTATCTATATTTTTTATCCTTTTTGATGTACTTATCCTATCACTCACTATTTCTAGATCCTCTTCTATGTCTATTTCTTTGTAACTATAATCATTATTATCTATTACTGTAACAATTTGTTCAAAAGGATTCTCTATTTTTATTTTATTTATCTTATTTTTTGCTGTTATCTTATGTTTTGTTGTTAATACATATAGATTCTTACAGCGGGCTGTAAATATTTTACTTCCTGGGGCTAATTCTATTCCTGACATTTTCCAATATAATACTAATGATTTATCTATATTTCTATCATTTATTGCTACTGAATAATTAGCACTTATTATAAACTTAAATTTTTGGTAGATTAAATTTCCTTTTACCGCACTTATTATACTTCTTTCTATTGGTTCTACTATTCTGTCATCCGCCAAATATATTTCTATTGGTGTATCTATTCCTTCTCTAAAACAAGCTTTTATTAATATTTCTGTTCCGCGTAAGTGCACGTATTTTATTGGTACTTTAGCTTTAATTTCTTGTATTTCTTTATTTATTATCCTTTTATTTATTATAGGTATTCTTGCTTTTCCTTTGGTATATTTACAATCTATTATGTGTTCTTTTTGGCTCACTACATAGTATTCCTCTTTTTGTCTTTTAAATATATTTCTTATTAATGGTATCTTAAATATTTTTTCTACACTGAGATCTAATTCTTTTCCTTTTATTTGTTCAAATATATTGGTATCAAATATTACCTTCTGTTCCGTAGATTCTTCATTTGTATATTCTTCTTTATTTATCATTTGTACGTCTTTTTCAGTCATTATTTTCTTCTATTTCATTTTCAGATATTTCGTTCTCAAACAATTCAAATTCATATATACTATCATCACTATCTGGTTCGTAATCTATATAATCTATTTGTGTATATGTTTCATCATTAATTATTATTTCAGATATTTGTTTTTTCTTTGGATTTTTGGTTAATTTACAATCTTTAGCAAACTTCAATAATTTTAGCATTAAAAAGAAGGCGAGGTGGGGACGTTAAGCAAACCACTGAGTGGTTCAACGAGCTCTACACAACTTTTCTAAGCAACCAAAAATGCCTATTTTCATCCCACTTACTCAAATGCTTTACAACCATACTACTTTAACTATCCAAATATTTAAACTTAAGCAAGACCCAACTCATTCAAGCACAACTCCCTTTTTCGATGACCAATTGAGAGTTGAATAGCTAGGAATGCAATCTAAGTTCCGAGCATAAATCGATGCTAAAATATTTAGTTAATGCAGGTTTATGTAAAGATTTATGTGCAGAGATGCAATTGGAGGCATGAAGATGTATCAAAGTGAACCCTGTTGAGAATTTTAAACCTTTTGTCTCACAAGCCGCTCCAATCCAAACCACTCGGCGATATTAGTTGTAATTGCGGAGTATTTCGGTGAGTCACTGGACAATCACTTGCCTTGCCGATTCTTAAAGAAATTTCCATTAAGCTTGGGAATCCAAATGACGGTCTCCATCGAGATCGCCGATAGAGTCGGCAATGCGCCACTAATTTTAATTGTTCACCGAGTTTGACATTTCCCAACTTGAAGATATCTTTGAGTCAAAAAGGCAGATATGTTAGGTTAAGCGACCTCTTCGGCGATTCTACGATTGGACCTGTTGTTCGTCACTATACACTGTTTCAAACACTTTTCTACACTTCAGCCTGTACAAACAATACACCGTTATTTTATCAGTACACAAATACAAAATGATAAAGAGTTTTGGGTTGCCTCCCAAACAGTGCCTTAGTTAACGTCGTGGCACGACGCAAGTCAACAACTATTCTTCATCCTCAGAGTCAGCCATGGTGTAGTTAGGCGAGTCCTCAGCGAATGGTGGATAGCGACCTGTCATCAAATGGGTGATTTGAGCATCCTGCAGCTGAATAGTCATGCAGTTTGAGGTAGAATTTTCATTCAACATTTCAATGTGGTCCTTCATCTCATTTAACTTCTTATCTTGCTTTTCATGTTTTTGTTGAATGCGAGAAAAAGCATCATCCATTTGCACATCCTCATGCTTCTTCCCGTGTCTACATTCTAAAAAGAAGTTCTTTTACTTTTCCATGGCTTGTGCTTCAAACCCCATGACTCGTTTGGACAGAACGTCTACTTGAGACACTAGTGCATCCCACTCGTGTTTGTTTTGGGCCTCCTTGTTAGTTTCAACCATACCATCAAGGAGCGTTGCGACAACTTCGTAGGGCTGGTGGAGCATACATCCCTCGAAAAGTTGATCGGCTATGCTCCTATTTTTCGGTCCAAGATCCCGATAGAAGCATTCCAACAACATCTTGTCAGACATTCCATGAGATGGACATGGTTGTAGCACTGATTGGAACTTTAGCCACATTTTTTGAATTGTCTAATTACCTGCTTGTTTGAACGTCAGGAGGTTGTCCCTAAGGTTCAATATTTTCAGGTGGGGATGGTTCGTATGGTACCCATAATGATCATCCATTCTTATTTACTTACTTTGATATTCAAACAGGCAAAACAAAACTACAATTTAGATTAGTAAAGCTAAAACTAAGAAGAATAAAAAATTCTACTTAACTAAGAATTCGCAAATAACACCACTCCCCAGCAGCGGCGCCATTTTTGATTTTTGCGTAGTCAAGACACAACTTCCGATGCAAGTGTCTACGATCATACAATAGTTTAGTAACCCAACCAAGGGTT